GGGCAATTGGGGGGTGGGGCTGGCTGCTCGACAGCTGCCCAATCGGCCTGCCAGTTGCTTCCCATAGAGGGAGGCCAGACTGTGGCTTAGGCCCGCTCCCTGAGCAGGCCTAAGCCATCAGTTGGATCTCCCTCGAGGGCTCCCAGACTGCCAGAGGGTGCAGGTCGAGCTGAGGGACTTCTCCCCCCGCTCCCACCCCAGTGCACGAATTTTTGTGCATCGGGCCTCTAGTTGGTTTATTATAAAAGGATATAACTCAGGAACAGCCAGGGGAAGAGAGGCATGGAGCAGGGTATGGGGAAAGGATTCGGAGCTTTCATGCCCTCTTGACTCTCCCTGCATCTCCACATGTCCACCACCTCAGAAGCTCTGAGAACCCTGTCTGATTGGGTTTTTATGGAGACTTCATTGCCTTGGCATGGTTGATTAAAATCAGACACCTACGATTAATTCAACCTCTAGCCCCTCTCCCCACCTTGGAGGTCAGGGGATGGGACTGAAAGTTCCAACACAACCAGCCCCCATCCTCAGGTGAAAAGTCAACCTCATTCACACAACAGGAGACATTTTATCACTCGCAACACTTAGGAAATGCCAAGGTTTTGGGAGCTGTGAGCCAGGAATCGCAGATGAGGACCAAATACATTGGTCATTTGAATGACCCAATATATATTTCTTAGAAATCACAGTATTGCAGTAGATTATTTTAAAAGTTTTGAAAACTGATAAAGTTATTAGTTGTAACTACAATTATAGCTTTTTATGTAGTAAAAGGTTATAATTTTGTAATCTTCTGAATTAGAAATTGCATTTATCAGAAATAAAGTAGCATAAATAAAAGAATAAAATAAAATAAAAAAAACCTAACAGAATTACCAGGTGTTTTGGTTTCCTATTGCTGCTATAACAGAATACCAAAAACTTAGTGGTTTAAAACAACACAAATTATTATCTTAGAGTTCCAGAGGTCCGACGTCTGGCATGGGTCTCACTGGGCTAAAATTAAGGTGTGAATAGGGCTGTGTTGCTTTTTGGAAGCTCTATGGTGTTAGCGGTAGGGAGATTCCCTCATTCCCCACCAGTTGCTGGGGGAAGTGGGCTTCTTGGGGTGCCACTGGAATAAGAATTTCCAGAGGTCTCCATGGGAAGCTGAGACATTGTAGAAAGCTTTATTTCTGTGGGGTTACACCCCTGAGTTTCCAAGGTCCCGTTTTCCTCTGTCCCGCCACAGAAGAAGTGTAGGTGTGACGTCAGTAGGGCTAGAATGAAAGCCGTTGCCCAGAGTTTTCATCCCATGTTGGAGCAGTGTCCAGTCCAACGTTAAACCAGCTTAGTTTGTGTTCCCAGCTGCAGTCCAGCAGTCCATTGCATGTGGGGTCCCGAGGGCCACATGGCTATGGAGGGAACACGGGCAGGAGCAAAGCCAAAGAGACCAGAGAGCCAAGAGCCAAGAGAGAGAGCGCCTTTGTCTAGGGCCGTGGTCGGCAAACCGTGGCTTGCGAGCCACATGCGGCTCTTTGGCCCCTTGAGTGTGGCTCTTCCACAAAATACCACGTGCAGGCGCACACATACAGTGCGATTGAAACTTCGTGGCCCGTGCACAGAAGTCGGTATTTTGTGGAAGAGCCACACTGAAGGGGCCAAAGAGCCGCATGTGGCTCGCGAGCCGCGGTTTGCCGAGTCGCAGTTTGCCGACCACTAGTCTAGGGGATTATGTATTCCCAAATTTTTGCGGGCTTGCAGTAGCCCTGCCTCTTTTGTCCAGTGATTTCTGTTCCCAGGTTTGACTGATGGGCACCTTCCCTAGGTCACCCCAACTTCACTGCCCATGTGCCCATCTTCCCTTTGTTCAGTCCCTTCCCCCAGTAATCTGCAGGGAATGGGCCAGCAGCTCCCTGGGGAGTGTGAAGTTGCAGCTTCCTGGTGAAGCTGCCCAAGTGACATGCCTATAATGTTCTGGCCTTCCTTTTCCTTCTTTGGTATTCTTAATAACTAGCTAATTAAAACGGTATTAGTGGGATAATCCATTTTCTTGCGTTTTCTAGCCTTGAGAGGCTACATGCAAAGGGTGTATGGCCCTTTTCCATCCTCAGAGCCAGAGGTCACTGGTTCTGACCTTTCTGCCTCAGTTTTCCTCATTTAAGGACCCTTGTGGATACATTAGGCCCACCCAGATAATCCGGGATAATCTCCTTATTTTAAAGTCATCAGTTTAACAACTTCAGTTCAGTCCGCAACCTCAATTTTCTCTTGCCATGTAACATAAGGTATTCACAAGTTTCAGGAATTAGGACATGGACATATTTTGGGAGCCAGTATTGAAAGCTATAATTGTACAGTTACAAAATACTGGTGTAGTTACTGTACAATTATAGCTTTCAAAACCGTGTTTTTAGTAAGTGACCATTGACAAGTTTCATCAGTCTTTCAAGAAACAGTTTTCTTTTTCTGTGACCTGACAATTGGATTGCCCCCCACACTTGGCTCACAGAGCATTGCAAACAGCACTGGGACCGTATAGTTGCCGCAGGTTCCTTGTCTGGTACCCACATTGTCATCTCGGGTAATTCCAGTTTTTTTTTTTCTTCTCAGTGAATAATGTTTGCAGCCCCTATGGGCCTGGTGGGTCCCAGACAGGGAAGCCTTAAGGAACCAGAGCCACCATGGGGAGACCCTTCTCTACTGTCATTAAAGCATGGTTGATTTTGGGAGTTAATGTTTATAAAGAGAGCACAGAGTCACATACCATAAACGGGGCTGTCGTGTGTCTGCTAGATGATTAAGAAGTCCAGGACGACGGAAATGGCCCTGGAAAGCCTGAAGCAGCAGCTGCTGGACCTGCATCACTCCGAGTCCCTGCAGCGCGCCCGGGAGCAGCACGAGAGCGTCGTGGCGGGCCTCACCAACAAGTACGAGGAGCAAGTGCTGTCCTTACAAAACAAGTTGGATGCTACGGTGGCTGCCCTTAAGGAACAGGTTGGGATGATTTCAAATGAGCCACTGTTATCAATAAGCAAAGCCGTTCTGTCTTGTAACTGACATTTTGTGGTTCTTCATATAGAAATTTTGGATGTTTGCAGTAGGTTTTTTATTGTAAGTAAAAATTTAAAGACAAAGATTTTTTATTTATGCCTACTCCCTAAGGCAGGCATGATTTTGGAAATCCTTCCTGTGGTAGGATGAATTCTCACAGTGCTAGTCGTTTACTTGTAGGGTATCCTATATAGTAAAAGCCTAATATGCTAATTGTCCGGTTGTCAGGTCGGCCGTTCAAGCAATCAAAGTGTAATATGCTAATGATATGCTAAGACTGCTCAACCGCTCGCTATGATGTACACTGACCACCAGGGGGCAGATGCTCCGACTGGTAGGTTAGCTTGTTGCTGGGGTCCGCCTGATCGGGACTGAGCCGAACACACCCTGGAGCCCTCCCACAGTCCCTCCCTGGCTAGCCAACCTCCGGTGTCCCTCCCCGGCCCTGATCGTGCACCAGTGGGGTCCCTCAGCCTGGCCTGTGCCGTCTCACAATCTGGGACCCCTCGGGGGATGTCATAGAGCCAGTTTTGGCCCAATCCCGCAGGCCAGGCTGAGGGACCCCACTGTGCACGAATTCGTACACCGGGCCTCTAGTTTATACATATTGTCCTGGAATAAATCCAGACTGGAAGGAATGAGTTTTCTGGGAGATGGCTTGAGGGCTGGTCCTGGGAGCTTAACCACTAGAACACCTTTCTTGGGTCTCCCAGTGTTTGGTAAGAAGCCCATCATTAAGACTGTCTAGAAATGGTTCTTGAGAGAAGAGTTCATTTTGAGACTAGCATAGTAAATGAGGGAAGTTAGTCTGATCTAAAATTATTGAGGTTTGAGACTTGAGCACATTTCACAGTTTTTATTACTTTTGCCCCAAAGGGAATAGGATGTTGTAAGCTGATGGTGAGTCAGGTGGGGGGTTTGCTTGTGCTCCAAAACTCCAGGTAATCGTTTCAGTGAATAAAATTTCAGAGTGCATTTTCCTTAATGCAGTTTCAGAACTAATTTAACCCAAAGGAAGAGAAGAAGAAAAATAAGATGTGAGTGTATGGAAAATTCCACTACACTTAAAATTCATTCTGATTTGGGTTCTTATTTCTTATTTATACAGCTGACTCTAAAATTTTCCATTATTTAGATAGAGCTAATATAAGATGCATTATTGGCAATAATAATTGTTTGTATACCATTTTATTTTATTTTAATGTACATTTATATGAGTTTTTATTATGTTCATTTTCCTAAAGATGTTTTTATTCTTTTTATAGAGAAACTTATTATGAATTTGACCAGTGTGGAGCATATATAGGGGTGGGGAAAGACAAAGGTTAGGTAAAATTATTGAGAATTTACTTTATATAATATATAAACAAATGGAGTTTGAAATACAGTTTTATTAACTTTGGTTGTGTGTGGGGAATAGCATTACAGTTAGACGTGGAGAACGGTCCTCCTTGGATGATGAGAGGAGTGGTGTCTGGCGGCTTTTGCATCCTGGGTTACTTGAGGATGTCTCCATTCTCTGCTGCCTTAGACACAGTTATGGGGAGGGCTGGGAGAACTCCTGTGTGTTCAGCTCCTGAGCCCAGTCCATTCTCGATTCTCTGCCCCCATCCGTAGAAGAACCTTAGACTGGAGCAGAGAACAAAGTCTTGGCTCTGTGCTGAATGGGCTTCGGACCCCTGAACCATACACTGAAGGTGCTGATTAAGGTCTTTTTTCTGCCGTTACATTCTGTGACTGTTTTGTTGTTTTTCTTAAATAGCATCGCATAGCACAGCACGGATATAGGCCTCTGTGTATAATTGCACAACTGCTTTGCAAAGTGCCGATGCCAAAGTGCTTATCGTTGTTTCTTCCTGGGAGTGTTTCATTATGGTGCCCTTTTGTGCTCTCCATTTGCTGTCAGTTGCCTCAGTAGTGTTTTTAAGGAAAGGTCAGTCTATATAATTTCAGAATTGAAATTGAGACTCCTGACTGTAGAGGTGCTGTAAAAATCCACCAGGAGCGAGGGAGATGCCCGCCTGTCATCTGAAAATGCATTGAGTCTCTTCCACATGGAGAGGGTCGATGTAGATTTTCTTACATAACCGGTAGCCATACGTACATACTGCATTTTACCCCTTGCCCGCTTTTTCTTCATAAGGGTTATTACAGAGGGAGCTGCATGTTATTTCCCTTTCGGGTGAACACTTATCTGCTACACTCTGTTCAGCAGATTGCAAAGAAAAGTAAAACAAGTCTTAGAAAGTAAGTAGCAAGGAACAAATAACTGGGTAATTCAGTAAATGAATACGTTCGCCGGTGTCTGGGTTGTGAGCGGCTCTCATGTAGTTATGACTGTGTGCCATGTACTGTGTGTTTGATGTGCACAGTGTTGACAGAGCAGATGCTCACGCGGTGTAAGTGTTCCTGGTTAAAGCGATTCTTACCCTGGCCTCCTCTAAGGCAGTCCGGACCAGGCCCCAGGAGACGGATGGATCCTCTGAAACAGCGGAGGAGTTTCCTTTGGGTGTGAGCATATGCAGTGTTTTTTTAGAAGACCAGGGAGCTTCTTCAGATTGAAAGGTTGAAAATCACCGCTTTATGAAAAACACATTCTTGCTGGGAAGCGACTGCAGTTGTAGATTAATTGCATTATTTCACCTGTTCAGCAAAACCTTTATTGAACAACAGCTAAACATCAGGATGTAAACTAGCTTGATGTATATTTAAGTATATTTTGAAAGACAAAAATTCAACACGGCGATTGCCTAACTTAGCTATCCATGGTACAGCTGGGCTTTTTAGAAATGTCTCTGTAACTAGTATATTTTGAGAAATATATGGCTTGTGAAATTATAATACAGTGGGGCCTTGACTTACCAGTGTCCCGACTAACGAGTTTTTTGAGATACCAGCTGTCTCTCGGCCGATTTTTTGCATTGAGTTGATAGAGTAATTTGAGTTAACGAGCTCCTTAACGAGCTCGGTCTCGGAACGAATTAAACTCATAAGCCAAGGCCCCACTGTATTACTTTAGTGTTGTCTTTTAGCCACCAGCTTTTCTGGGTAGGAAGGATTGTACACATTCACAACACATTGTAACAGTTCTTGTTACTTTGGCTGAGTTTCTCTAGGTCCTCCCGTGTGACAGAGAAGATGAGAGCAGACGAGCTGCTTGCTCCTGGTCAACTGTCTCCCAGATTCTCTCCTCTACCCTGCCTCTGTATCTCTAATGCATGGAAGTGTCATGGGAGGATCTCTATCTCCTTGAGGATCTAAAACAGCCGTGGGCAAACTACGGCCAGTTTGAAATGAATAAAACTAAAAAAAAAAAAAAAGACCGTACCCTTTTATGTAATGATGTTTACTTTGAATTTATATTAGTTCACACAAACACTCCATCCATGCTTTTGTTCCGGCCCTCCGGTCCAGTTTAAGAACCCATTGTGGCCCTCGAGTCAAAAAGTTTGCCCACCCCTGGTCTAAAACCTTTTTTCATTCTGGTCTTGAAATCTTCAGCTTTCAGTGAAGTCAAGGACTTTGGTTTCTGTGTCATGATTTTCATGTGATCCCTTTCCTACCTTTCTTTTACGTTATATTTAATTTAAACTCATTCTATTGGCTGAGGGACTCTCACAGACGTGTGTGTGTGTGTGTGTGTGTGTGTGTGTGTGTGTGTGTGTCCTAATCTTCATTTTGGCTGTGCCATAGAAATCTGTTCAATTTTATTTGCTTCCATGGACTCAGCTATTATTACTCTTTTTATGACCCCACTTGTCTCATTCAGTCTTAAAAGATGTCTGTCTTTGTCTTGAATTGAGTGTTCTCATCACTCATGCTAATCATGGAAAAGATGGAGCCATTCATTTTGTTTTGTTTGTTTTTGGTGTTTAAGTTGCACAGTTTATGAGTGTAATCTGTTTTCCTGAACTTGTCAACAGGAAACTGCATGATTTAATTGATTAATGCATGTAGGTAAATCATCGCCACAGTCTGCCTTTTGTTTACAATGTTTTTCATATCTACTTTTTTTTTTTTTATAAACCAGTTTGCAGTCTCTTGTAAAATCTCTATGACTTCCTCAGCTCATAAGCGTTAGCTGTCTCCCCACCCTGTCTTGCACACACGTTCACGCTGTCATTGACTTTAGGGCACTCACTGTGCTTGCGTGGTACTCTGGTGCGTGAGAGCCCTGCTTTTCGAGCTGGCCTGGGGATCAGCAGCGTGGCCAAGAGGCTGGCAGGGTTGGATAAACACGGGCAGTTTCCAGGAGCTCCATTTTGCCCACAAATTCAGAAGAAAAAATTTAAAGCAAACATGGCTACATCATGCACTAGAACACAAAGTTCACATGAATTGTTAAGCCAAAACAGGAGACTTCAGAGTCCCTTTCCTCTGCTCAGGGGCACTGTCCGTATCCTTATGAGGTGTGCTTTGGGGTGGTATCCTTAGGGCATTATTAGGCTTGAGGTTTTCCTATGGATCAGGCCCCCAATGCTTTCTGCTTTAAAGCCCTTTCTTGATTTTCCTCTTTCTATTAATTTCTTCAGGTTTTTTCCAGGGAACTTTAGCCAATTTACCTCTCTGCCTTTCTCATGCTCCTTTGGCCTGGAATTCAGCCTGTGAAGTCCTTTTTGAATGAGAGGTGATGATTTCTCCTACAGGGGCTCGGCACTCCCGTGACTCACTACTCCCAAACACACAAACGCATTTTTTTAAAAGAAGCTTGAATACATTGTATACATGCTCTGTATTTATACATCCCCATACAGTTACACACATACATGTGTGCACACATTCATTCTATTTGTTGTTCTTTGTCATTTATTTTTAAGTTTTTTTTTGTTGTTTTGTTTTTTTTTGTAGTACATACTATGTGTAAGGCACTGCATAGGCACCTGCAAGGAAACTATGAAGACAAGTAAGACATGTAAAAGGTAGAAGGAAAAACACGAAACAGATCAAGTTTAAAAGGAGTTCAGAAGAGGGAAAGATTATTTTTGGCTGCTCAGAACTGAATGAGCTTTTGGATGCTCAGAGTCAAGGAAGGCTCCGTGTGTTTGTCTGTGTCCTTGCTGTCCTGGGATAGAAACTCCATGCTTCAGAGTCAGCGTGGCATGCCTGAATGTGTCTACACACACTTCACTGGCAGTGTAAAGTGCAAATACTAGTAGGAATGTACTGCCTTTCCTTTGGCCTGAATAGGACCTAGTTCTAGAACAGCAGTGTCTTGTGAATGAAGAGCAGAAGGCACTTTAGAAATCATGGAATTCAACCTTTGTTAGTGTAATTCCAAAAGAAAAAAACAGACTGAGAAGTTGACGACTCACCCAAGATCGCATGACTTGGTTCGCCTGACTCCCAGTCCCGTGCACTTATCCTTGTAGAGGAGGTGATGTTGCCATGTGATGATTTTATAGTTGACTTAAAACCCAATCATGAATGATAATTGATAGTTTAGTACTTAATAATGGATCATAAAAATGACTTCTTGAACACTTTTTCTATTTAGGAAGACATTTGCTGTCATTTGAAAGACAAGGTGAAACAACTGGAAAGGAATCAAGAAGCAACCAAATTAGAAAAGACGGAGATGATTAACAGATTGTCCAGAAGTCTAGAGGAGAGTCAAAAGCAGTGTGCCAACTTGCTGCACTCAGGTGGGTGTCTGAGGCTCTGTGGTCTCCCGGAAGGCTAGTATACTATGCAGAGAGAACATAGGAGCCTTGAATTATAAAGCCCCAGAAAAGACAATTGAGATCATTGGTAACAATTTTTTAAACATCGTTACTATACATGTGTCAGAGCTAGTGCATATTTATTAGATAATTTGGAAAACACAGGCAATATAAGGTAGAAAATAACAATAACCAGTAATTCTACTGCACAGAGGTAACTGCAGTAGACATTTGAATGTATTTCCTTCAAGTGAAATGAAGGCCACATGCATAGATAATAACCTGCTTTTGAAAATGTACCAAAGCTGAATGTTCAGAAATTGAATAATAAATGTAGAGTCTATCTCTGAAAGCTAAAAATGATATGAAATCCTGTTATATTTTGCTGTTTAGAATTGATCACTGATCATGTAGTTCTGTCATTTTGTGTAACTTCTTTAATTATTTTCCCTCTCACAATGGAATATAGCCACTTACCTAATCAATTGAAGCCAGTGAGTTATAGTTTTTATAATTTTTTAAAAAATCAATCCTCACCGAAGGATATTTTTCCATTGATATTTAGAGAGAGTGGAAGAGAGAGGGAAAGGCAGTGAGAAACATCGATGTGAGAGAAGCCTGGTGAGAAGCCTCCTGCATGCCCCACACTGGGGATCGAGCCCACACTGGGGATCGAGCCCACAACTGGGGATCGAGCCCACAACCTGGGCATGTGCCCTGACCAGGAATCGAACGGTGACCTCCTAGTCAATGCTCAACCACTGAACCACACCAGGCAGGCTCCATTGATTTTTATAGAGAGTGGAAGGGAAGAAGGGGGGGGGGAGAGAGAAACATAGATGTGACAGAGACACAGTGAATGGTGGCCTCCCAAATGTGTCCTGACAAGCCAGGGATGCCTTTGATCCGATTTCGAACTCATGTCCCTTTGGTCCAGGGGCAGACACTATAGCCACTGAGCACACCATCCAGGGCTGTCATTCTTAAGATTTCTCCTATGGTCTCCATGGTATTAAGTTTGAGAATATGCTTCCTATCATTAGTTTCAGCAATGTTATGATTTCCTATTCATTTTTATAAAATGACTAGAGGCTCGGTGTACAAAAATTTGTGCACTGGCGGGGGGGGGGGCGTCCCTCAGCCTGGCCTATGCCCTCTTGCAGTCTGGAACCTCTCGGAGGATGTCCACCTGCTGGCGTAGGCCCACTCCCTGGGGGATCCGGCCCAAGCTGGCAGTCAGACATCCCTCTGGCAGCCCGGCAGCCCTCAGGGGATGTCCACTTATAAGCAGGGAGCAGACCTAAGATGCAGTCGGACATCCTTAGTGCTGCTGAGGAGGCAGGAGAGGCTCCCACCACCACCGCTGTGCTGGCAGCCATCAGCCCTGGCTTGTGGCTGAGCAGAGCTCCCCCATGTGGGAGCGCACTGACCACCAGGGGACAGCTCCTGCATTAAGCATCTGCCCCCTGGTGGTCAGTGTGTGTCATAGTGACCAGTCATTCCCAGTCGTTCTGCTGTTAGGGTCAATTTGCATATTACCCTTTTATTATATAGGATAGAGGCCTGGTGCA